CTGCCATTTTATTTGCTTACATTGTTGATGGGTAATTAGGTATGCAAATGTTATTATTCGACCCCATTTTATACTCTAAACACCATGCGACTAACAATAGTTTAGTGTGAATGATATCTATATATACTCCTATATTGTAAAGAATAAGTATGAAGTGATTGCGGAGAGATTTCGGACCAATTTTCAGATAATAGAAATCCACCATATTTGACGCATTTATAGATTTTAAAAAGGTTAGAAGCTTAAACTCTTTTAAAGTGGCCAAAATTCTGAGCTGCGAATAGTATAAAATAAATTCTTGTGAGTAAACTTTCGGCCAACCTGACTCTGCTAGCATATGCTCTAAAAGTATTCAAGCCACACATAGCAGCAAGAGATTTGCATTGGGTCTTTTTGGGTCATTCACGGCTAAATGATACTCCGATTTCTAGAAATGACCAATACTGTGCCCTTAAACACATATAGTTTCAATATGTTCATGGTTAATGAAAAAGATTTCTTAGACCATAGAAAATATAGTGGTCTCACCGAAAAATGTTATAAAATCGAACGCTCGATAACTGATATTTCCATTAAATGGAAAATATTTAAAACAAGTTGACTTTGGTCGGAAAATGGTATAAGGCTTTTCCAATGAGCGTTATTATATATCAACACTTATATAAAGTATTGTATAACATCAATTATTTTAAGGTGTCCTAAACAACCCACATGCCATCACAACTGTGGAAAATTGATTGAACGCTATCAGGCTGAGGTATAAGTAGCACCAAAAACAACGAATTCGAGAAATGAAGTGCAAATTGATTTAGTTATGAAATACATTCATCACCAGCTACTAGTATCTATGAAGTGGTAATTTCAGCCTCTGCCGCACACTGCCACGCTATTCAAACTAAGAAAGTCAATAAATATGCACTAATGTCGGCAATTTGCATAAATTTCTAATGAAATGTACTTGGACTGCATAAAGTCGCGATAAATAGCGCCGCAGTAGTGGAAAAAGCAAACGCTGGCGAAAAAGCGAACAGAAAAGAATATTTACGAAGAGACATTATTAAGTGTAGAAGTAGAAAAGTCTCGCTGAAAAACATAGCAGTCATTAAATACGAAAGCGAAGCGAAGCAGATGGCCAGCGGCTGATTGGGTCGGCGAGCGAGCGTCTGTTGCGGCAAGGAAAATGCAAAGTGCGCTGGCAACGTATAAAGACGACCAAAGCCTACAAAATGACTGTTCACGTAGTGTGGGCTGGTATTAGTGCATTTATCATACAATAAACAGTTATGATTTGTAAATGCATATATTTTGGAAACATCGGAAATTCTTATATAATAATTAAATGCAATGCCCTATTCATATTATCTGGACTTTTGTGTTTTCATTTGAGAAATCGTCGGCGTCATATCTAACAATAACTTAGAAATTCCGACAAGACCTCGCTTTGACAGCCAAAAAATAGACTCAACACAAATACTCAAAAAATATATAGTGCGGATAATCCAATAAGTTTTAAATGTTTCTTCGAAAACAAGCTTAAAAATTAGTCATGTCAGCGTAATAACTAAAATTTTTAACGCCGGTCCACGGTATAGCTGTAAAGGTTCCAAAAACTTGCCATTACCTATCGAAATCGAACGTTTACATCTGAGGAAATCTGAACTCATGCATATATGTTAAAACAGATCTCGTATATATTACGTTTCACCTATATACACATGCTGTTCAATTTTCTATGAAATTGTCACATTTGTGCAGGTTTATGTGAAATTGGCGAAGGATTATTTTCTGCGCAGAACTTCCCTCACTTCTAATAACTGCACTCAGCAATAAGTCGATTTCTAAAGCCTTTAAGTACAGTCGATTTGCATAGTTAATGTTGTGCAGTTGATAATTGTGCAATTAATTAGCCTGAAACCATAATTATCGAGCAGAATTAATACAGCGAATTAAGCATTCATACACAGTCGTTGATTTCGACTGTGACAAATGGCCAAAAACGTGACAGTAGAGCAGAATGGCTCGTTGTCTGCATGCACCTGCTAAAACAGATTTGTTATATATTTGTATTTTATAATCGTATTTGTGATAGAAATTGTCATAATCCTTTTGGTCGAGGGCATCGAAATAATTTATACATACTGCATTAACGAATATTTCAGTGGAGTAATTGTAATGTGGACCGTACGGCGTGCTGAGACACTTTTTGGGAGAAAACACACTCTCTCTTGGCTATCAACCAATTTTAAAAGAGGTTTTCAATATTTCAAATTGACTCTTAGAACTTTAACAGAGAATTTACGATGCAAATAATTTTCATTCAACTTGCCTTTAACGGCATTTTTTCTTACTTACGGAGCTGCAACATCGCTTTGAAATCAAATTTTCTCGCTCGTCCCATAATTGTGTATTACTAATTAGGATTGTGACCCAAAGCTTAAAAAGTGTAGAGATGTATGGCAACTAAGTATATGAGCGCACCCAAAGCTATTAATTAAGTAAGAATGCAAAAAGGCACCAGGGTGTCTATGCAAAAGTCTTAAACAGCTTCCCCTCCAACCAAATGGGTGTCTATTAAGCTATGACCAGTGGCAGCCTCTTACTGCCACTTACTCATGCAGACACAGAAAAGTGTGTGTCTGTGTGGAGAAGAGTTTTTATTTTCAATAATTGGAAGCATAAAGTACTGGAGCCATTGCTTGTGGTTGTTGACAGTAATATTTCAATGGGAATAATTGCAAAAGCTTTTTCCAATTGAAATTTCTGTCATTAGAAACTGCTTTTCCTAAAAGCCAATTACTCATAGTAAAGCGAAAAAGTTTGCAAACTTTTTATCATCGCCCGTGGCAAAACAATGGATTTATGTGGAGCAAAAAATTGCAGTGAACTTTTGATACCACAGTTACGGCACATATGTGCACATGTGTGCTAATACATATGAACCATATACATATATACGCATAGATGTCACTTGTGTAACACTGGTGAAAATACATTTTCATTTTTGGATCGCTGACTCTTTACTTTGTTGCACTAAACAAATTTTATGACGCCTTTTTAACTTGTATAAAGTTCTGGAAGAACAGGTCTAGACAGACAAAATTACATCAAAGGCGTTCAAAGCCCTTGGATTTATACTGAGGAGTGTTAAAAATTTCAAAAACCCTTGGACACTCAATAGACTATTCAAGTTACTTGCACTACCATTTTTGGAATATGGTTCGGTAATCTGGTCTCCCTACACTAACACGACAATCGATAAAGTTGAAAAGGTGCAGCGTAAATTCTGTAAGTCACTGGCCTATAAACTATCGTCACCAAATCACATCTGCTCTACTGATGAGGTCTACCAGTGCTACTGAATAAACGAACTGTCTTCTCGTCGACAGGTCGCTGACCTCTGCTTTTTCTACAAAGTAGTCAATAATATCGCTGATGCTCAAGAGATCCTAAACAGTTTTGAACTCGCCCGTGCTGGTCTTACCCTGAGGCGAAATAGATTACTAAAAACATCGAAATCTAAGAAAAATTATGTTATCCATGGTCCTCAGAATAGACTGGCTAATTTAGTAAATTCACTTCAAGGTGAAATTGATTTCTATGGAGGAACATACGCTGCTTTTACCGAAAACACCAAGAGACACCTGCTCGTCTGAATTACTTTTAAATGAAGTCTGAATTACATATTAACTTACAATTATTTAAATATTTTCCAGATATTACACTAATATACCCTAGCCACTTTTGTATAATACTTTAATTCTTTATTATATCTATGTATATTGCCGATTGGCGTTTAAATAAATAAATATTTTTATGTTTTTTAATAATTCTGAAAACCAAATGCAATCGGCGGTTCTGAAAAAGATCTTCAATTCAAATTTAACCCCAGCTGTAAAACTTTCTAGTTTTTAGAATAATTTGATAGTAACGTAACAGACACAAACCGATGCTTGTCAAAATCATAGTAGTCTGCTAATTGTTTGCTGTAGTACAGAACGTGACAAAAAATGGGAATTAATCAAATTTCAATTTATAGCGCCATCTGTTGGTATAATTTAAGTAAACGGCAATGGCTGCTTGTCGAAATAATAAAAATAATAAATAATAAGAATCATTCATAAATCGGGTTTTCCAATAGGGATGATATGATTTCTAAGTGTCGTTTCGGCCATTTTTAATATGTCATAATCGTGCGTACTTCTTTCGAAATGAAACAGGTGTCAATGAAGAGCGGTATAGATCACTGATAACCAATTTTTTTTTAGCCGCAATTGGAAGAAGTTGGTCTTGACAACATCTGGTTCCAACACAGCACGTGCAACAACCGAATTATTGCGAGAAAAGTTTGGAGTTTCGATAATTTCACGAAATTGTGACATTGAATGACCTCCAAGAAGTTGTGATTTAACACCATTAGACTACCTTTTGTGTGGTTATTTGAAGTCATTGGTCTTTCGCAATAAACCAGACTCGCTTCAAGTTTTGGAAGTCAATATTGAACGTGCTATTTACGACATACGATTTGATTTAGTGGAAAAAGTACTCGCAAATTGAGTTAGTCGAATTCGGCAAAAGAAGTCGCGGAGGCTATTTGAATGATGTTACATTCAGAACTGAATTGTATCGATTGTACTTCACATTAAATTAAAAACATTTCAATTTCCTTAACAACTTGTGTGTTTTTTTGTATCATATCACTCTTATTAGAAAACCGTGTAATTGTCAAATGTTTGCCACTCGCAATGCTTCAGAATCGGACAATGATCAGAATTTATTGCGAGGAGAAAGACTTCTCAGTTCGCTTACTGTGTTACGAATATCGGTAGTAAGGGACTAAAAAGTTGTGGAGTTCAAAGAATGCAGATATGTATCCACTCGTTTTATCACAAAACGTATATATTTTCAATAAAATTTTATATGAGAATTATTGAATATCAAATACATTACATTTTGAATGGATAAAAACTTTGTTGACCATTGTAATATATCCACTATCGCGCTACGTGCATTAAAGGTCACCAAACCAATCGTGCAAAGCGTTCTTCTGTTCCTCAATTTGTTGACCCATTAATTGGGTCATACGGAACTGTATGAGTATGAGCAAATAATTGAAGACAACTGCCGTTATCTGTTGAATTGAAATTTAAAAAAAAAGTGCAACGAAAAGTTGAAAATGTTTGAAAATAATTATCACACACCACCAACCGTTGCGATAATGGTTCTATTGAAGATCATATTGAAACCGCAAGTGAATTCAATTTTGTTTTCCAGGCGCCAATGCATTGTAGCGTCCACCACTCGTTTGGCTGATTTGAAGTTTGGAAACCAAATGTCGATTTGTTCGATTAAACGCAAGCAGCGTTTGCCCTGAAAAAGTAACGAGAGAGAAATAGTACAAGTAACAGCTTTGCAATCAGAATAAAAGCACGGAGTTCAGCGAACTTCTGCGAGTGGTACGAACGCAAACTCACCTCCTCAATCGCCTTGCTGCAGTAGTTGGGCGTAGATATAAATTTGTGCAACGGCACTATGAGCCACATTGCGCCATATGCGAAGAATATGCCGTCATCGGTTTTGCCGATCGAGTGGCCGAAGAGCATGTATAGTATATTGGTTACCAGCGTGAAATCGTGCAATAACACCGCCACCAAGGCGGCGCGGTAAACGTTATTAATGTCATCGATGATTTCGTGAAAACTACGCACCATTCCGACAAGGCACTGAAGACGAACTTCACATATATGCAGTTCTGGGAAGTTCGTTAACAAAAAGTCAGCGTTGAGCAACTTTTGCAGCAGACGAAAACGAACACGTAATATTTGGGCGAAGCCTGCATGCAAATAGCAAGTCCAATTCGGGCCGCTAATGCTGAGTAAATATAAAAACACAAAGACGCAAGCTTGCGCCACTCTATCCGGCACCTCGTGTACTATGGTCCAAGTAATAGCGGAGTAATGAAGCATTGTTAAAATTGTCGTCTGAATAAGGTTATTTTGCAGCAGCTTGTGATAGTTCAAATTCACACCGAACTCCCGTATCAGCTGCTGGTCCAATGCATCCAAGCGTTCGTAGAGTGCAATGTGGTCGCGCACCTTTCTTAGCATTAAATACATGACGATCACATGATTCACAGGTGTCATTAGCAATTCCAAAGCGTAGATGGTTAGCTTGAGCTGATCCATCGCTTTGATGCGCTCTCGTTGAATGGTATCATTAAACAGCTGATAAATACTAAGCATCAAAGCGAGTAATATGACGTTTGGTAAGGCGATTGTGTAGAGTAGTGTCCAGCGGTTGACCACGTACCTTCTGTTGTGATACCAGAAGCCATTGCATGCAGTTAAAAATTGCATTGAGGTAAATATAGCGTTCGCCTGGTATATGCTGCGTGGCTGGTAGACGAAGTCTCGCCAGCCCATGATTACGTATAGAAGCCCAAAGTGAAACTAAAATACACTTAGTTCCCGATTCACAGCAAATATTGCGTGATTTTTACAAATGCGGCAGTGAAGCCTCGTGTATGAAGCCATTAGCATAATTAAGGCTCCATTTAAATTCGAATTAGGGAAACAAAATCACAATGAGCTTAATAACATTAGCGCAATAATTTTGAAGCTTCATAGCAATTTGTGTGAAAAACAATTGATTCCAGAGCGGATAAAACGGGACAGTTACCTCAGCATAAACAAAATATATTTTTTACGTTTAAAGGAATGATGCATAGTTGCATTTTTGTTTGTAGAAAGGCTAACTAAAAAAAACGTTAACTTCGGTTGCACCGAAGCTATAATACCTTTAACAAATACAAAGGCCCTTACAAGAATTTGATTCCGTTCGTTCAATTTGTATGACAGCTATATGATATAGTGATCTAATCTGAAAATTTTTTGCGGAGATTACATGGTTGCCTTAGAAAATAACTCATGCCAAATTTCCGTCTATCTGTCCGTCCGTCCGTCTGTCTGTATATATACAAACTAGTCCCTCAGGCTTATAGCTATCGATTTAAATGTTGCACCCGTCCTTTTCTCACTAAGAAGCTGCTCATTTGCCGGAACAGACGATATCAGACAACAAGAGCACATACAAGTGGCTGCCATACAAACTGAACAATCGAAATTAAGTACTTGTATGGAAAACTTTTTTATTTGAATAAGTATCTTCAAGAAATTTAGCATGGATTATTACTTGAAGCAATAATGCAATTTGTAAAGAAATTGTATAGATCGGATGACTATAGCATAAAGCTGCCATACAAACTGAACGATCGAAATTAAGTGCTTGTAAGCAGCATTTGTATTTGGGAAGGCTATTATAGCTGCGGTGCAACCGAAGTTAACGGTTATTCTTTTTTTCAAATTAAACATATTTTTGTAACAGACTAGGTCGAATTTAATGAGTTAGTGTGTGTATTTAGTAACTTTCCTGCCTGTCATCCTAGTGAAATAATTGTTTCGACTAAATAAAATTGAAACATTCGATGTAAATTCTATTTTGGCAATTACTAAATAACTTAAATATGAGTAATTGATGGTAAAAGCATCAATTGCCTCCCCAATCCCATTTTCTGCAAAAGATAATCATCGAAATTTGTGGAAATAATTTCTTCGTGAAAATATTTATGGCAATCAACGTAATTGAAAGCAACCGCAAAGCGATGTTTTATACAAGTGCATTGAATTACAATAATTTTATATAAATACCGCACAGTGTGTCACTAGGAGAAAAATTTAAGTACCATATATTCAAAATGCATTTTATCGATTACTTTTGTTAAATAACCAATGAAACTCTTACAGGAGTGAATAACTCATCCGTTCTCGATCCAACCTCGGTTTCTGATACTTACAAGGTATCAAACAAATTCGGCGAGCACTCTTGTGTTGTATTCATCAAATTAAATACTAAATTTTAAATGTAATAAAAATAAGCTAAGAGTATCTTACTGAAAAAGTACTTAATCTTCTCTCTCACTCTGTGCGGCACTCCCATCACTTGTCATCAAAGTATTAAGAGGCAGGAAAGAAAAAGACGGAAAATACACGCAGATTAATTTGAATAACACTTGAGAATTTCTTAAAAATACAATATATAAATAAAACCCAATGCGATTAGAAACGCCGAGTTTGATGACCTCTTCGTCTCCACACCTAATAGCGGGACTCACTTCAAAGGATACAGATCGATATCTCTAACACTGATAGACTAGTTCGCGTATATATCAATCCAATCATTTTTTTTTTACCATAAAATTAACTAATTTGTAACTATTGTTACCTTCATATACCTTACCCACTGTGCTGTTGACTTGTATATACACAATTCTAACCAAATAATCAGTTGTCACTAATTGCCACCTCATCTCATGGCTATTCCAACTTGACATATTTATTACACATTGCTTAATATAATTTCATTACCGAAAACAATTTATGAAAGCCAAAGGCGTCGTTAAGCTGTCATTGCGGCAATCAAAATTCGGAGCTTCTCAGCTAGCTGAAAGGCAATGGTCAATTGCAGTGTGTCAAAAGCTTGCCGCTGGGCATTAACTTTATCCACTTTTTCATTGGCTGTTCCCCGCTTCGTTGAAATATTCCTCTTTTATGTCTTTTTATTTATTGTTGCTTCTTTAATCATCCATACATTCCAGCTGCCCTTTCAGCTATTTGATATCCAGCGAGCAACGGTGAACTGTTATTTATTTTTCCACAATAATGCGCCACTCAAAGGCGTCTACGGCGCAGTTGTATCAATAACGATTGAAGATTTATTTGCCTTTTCATATTATATTTCATACGAGAATAACATTTCATGAATATTTTCGCGAATGAATGACACTTAATGCGTTTCCTTATGTTTCCCTTTTAGGTATTTCTCTTTTATCATATTCACAGGAAAGCTCTGAGGATATAGGCAAACAATGAATTTTCCATTTTGTTGTTGTGTTGGTTAATACTTTCGACAATTCCCACAATTATTACCTCAACACAATTAATATCGATCATTTTATTAGCCGAAACATTGCCGCTTTCAACTTTCGAAGGCGGAGAATCTTTAGTTATCTATAGCCTATTGAGATAACATATTTGTATAAACTTGCAGAATATACTCATACCAACTTTTTACGTTCTTTGCCCAGAGGTTTTACCTCAGTTGAGGGGTATTCTTATAGAATTAAAGGGTATTAAAAGATCTTGATTTTGATTGATCAAATTGTATGGCAGCAGTATCATATAGTGGTCCGATATGAACGCCGGCACAGCCAAACGGATAAGGCTCAATCGACTTAGCTCGTCACTTTTATCATTTATGGTATATATACACTGTAGAGGGTATTTTATTTCAGCGGATACTGAAATTCGAAAGAAATCAATATTATATTAGAAGGTTTTTGACTAATTTTTTCTTAAATGAGACTTCGTTCATTGAACCCGGCTTCCTTCCCGCAGGCACTTCAAGAGATATGGAAACAGTCGAAAAAATACCTGATATGCGCACAAAAGTTGGTTGATCGGATGAACAGACAGACATCCTTATATTAATTCTCTATTGCTATTTCGATCAGCATTTTGTGTTACAAGTAGCCGTTAGGTGAAGAGGCCTAGTAAAATCTGTACAATATGTTACGAGGGTATAAAAAATGAACCCCTAATTTGTATACATGAAGGCTTACTAGTTGTAAGATTCACAAACAAAGATTATTTTAAGAGAGAGAGAGAGAGGGGGGCTCTTTTAATAAGCTATCGTTAAAAAGGAGATAAAACATAAGCGAAAGACAACCCAATATTAATGAAATTATGCGCTATTTAATTATATGCCCCAACATATTTTAAATCCACAAGAGAATACCTCGGATACTGGTTTTCATATCACTAAGCTGTTTTTATAAAGAAACCAATTAAAGTCTGCTATCTTTATTAAAACTGGAAAAGCTAATGCAGTAAATGCTTAGGAGACCAAATGTAAGCAAAATCGTTTTTATCTCTCTCAAACCCACCTCCAATATATAAAAACGCACCATCATAAAAGCGTGCGAGAATTATCAGCTCTTTTGAAATTTTAATGAGTTAAATGAAAAGCTTGTAAACGTTATTTAATGAATGATCGACCAAAGTTACATTGCCTGAACTAATTTACGCTTTAACTTCAACAACAATGTAGAAATATTTCCGGGCACTGGAAGAGGTATACATCCACGCACGTAACGTACGTCACGCGGTTATTACACTTCAGCGTTGATTAATTAACCCAGTTAATTACGTGAGTGTTTCAGTTACTCCCAACCGCGTTGATCTCAGAATGCAGTTAAATCTGCATACATGCAAACTTATATGTGCCACAAACCGCACCACTGAGCTTGGCAGCAGCGTTCACTTCATAATGCAACTGTTCAAGTGTCCGCTAAAGCACCAACTCACACATGCATATATACATATGTAAGTATTCTACATTAGATTCCGGCGATTCGCAAATGAGCTAAGCGTTTATTTATTAGGTCAATTTGTATTAACTCGGACACGTAGACACATGGCTGATGGCTGTAACCTCCTAACGCCTACATAAGTGTCCACCCATTTGGCTAAAGCTTCTCCACTATGTACGCTCCGCCAAGCCGCTTTACGCCACTCTGCACGGTTCCGCATCATTCCTCTAATTCTGTAATTCTAAGCCGAACATCGCTCTGAATAATGTGCAAGCTCGTTGTGCGCATCAAGAGCGTTATCGTCAAGTATTCGCACTAATTGAACATTAGCATATGCGTAGAGAGCTGTAAGACTTGGCGTAAGTGAGTTGGGTGACGCAATCCTCCTGATATGCTGTAATTAGTTGCATTCTAGGTAGATATCGGCTAGTTGGTTAACGTTGTTGTTGCTGTTTTTGTGCAGCCATAAGCAATCGCAAATATACGGACATTGCAAATACATAGGGTTTGTTGTAACTGGGTGTGGCAGGTGAAAGGCTAATTAATTGCCGGATTCCAAACGCATAAACAAACACGCACACATATTCGAGCCGCCTTGAAATGCGAACCTCACAGCCGAGCGTATAGTAGCATTCGCATATATTGCAGGAATCGAGCATCAGGTACTCTGATTGTTTGAAGAATGTTGATAATTGAGGTATAATATTCCAATTTTGTAAACCATTGATTTCATGAATACATCAAACTTCGGCGGATGGTTCGTAAAGGAGCCGTTATTTGGAAATTCTGCATCAAATTTAGTTGCCGTACGGGATCCACAGTCCTCAGAGCGATTGCATACATTTATACAGGTGCATCCAACTGTAAAGAAACTAATCGCCTTTAGAATTTTGTGATCGGTTCAAGACGCTCTGCTGATATATGCGGGTTTGGATCCATCTTTAATAATTTTCGATATTTTCGGTTTCACAAACGACCGGCCTAAAACTCGCCAAG